ATCAAGACAGAAAAAAAAGATAGTAGGCATCTTGCAAACTCCTGAAGTTGTCATTTCAATTTTTCTCATACTCAAAATGAAAAACCGCTGTCTGATGAGTGGTTTGAGTTTTAAAAAAACCCTGAAATTTGAACTGTTGTGCAAGAACACCATTGGCCAGCCACAAAAATTTCCACTGATGACCGTACTTGTATCTATTTTGGTATGTGTGCCAGTTTCAAGTGCAAGTTCTGACAGATGGTTCAGTGCAACGAACAGGATAGAAACATAAAAAATGTTAAGCTTATTTATATAAATGACTCTTAGATTAATTACACAGAGAAACAATGGTATGTAGGTTACAGAATACAACTCACTTGTGGCATCTAACATCTTCAGGCTGTCAGGCTACATGAGGAAGGAGTAAGTGGGTTGGTAACATTTTTTGTGGAATGGTACATTTTCTGTACTTATGTTCAAGGCTGGTTTAATCTTCTGGCTTATTAATCAATTACATTCAACCGATTTATTATTCTCACATGAGACTTGGATAGTTGAAAATAGTACTAACCAGAAACAACAATTTTGATTAGTTGGTTATTTTTGCAAGTTGTGACACTAACTGATTAAACTTAACAACCTTAAATTAATCAATAATACTAATGAGAAATCATATTTCAATTACATGGATAGTTCCAAAAAATTAAAAACACAAATATCAATTAATCAATTATTTTATGTGACAACAATTAATGTAACTGAAGCTCACAGGTAATTGATTATTTTGATTAATTGAGTTAACTGCCACATCTAATTTCATCACTGTTATTTTCAGGCCTAAACTGGTGCACTCGCTTTGTTTGATTGTCTAGCTGAAATAATTGCAAGGCTTCATTTTTTTTACAGGGAGAATGTTGGACCAGATGGCCACTTATTATCAATTGCATAAGAAATTCAATTATAAAGCATAAGATTATGTATAAAGTAATTATTAAATAAAAAGAACTACATGTCGGATTTCCTTGTTTCTCACTTAAAACTAAATCATAAACAAATTCTCTTATTTACCTCCATCAATTCTTCATGATTTTCCTGGGAACTGCTTACAACTGCTGCACCTCTTTCTAGATTGTAGCCTTCAACAGTGAAGCTTGGGGAGCCAGATGTTGAGACTATTGATACGGAATGATGAGTAGGATAAACAGTGACTGCTTGGGAATCCATAAGTACACCGATGCCTGAAGTTACTGCAAAATGTGCTGAAATCCTGTCATCCAGATTTTCAACAACATACTGGCTATGTCCTTGTACATCTGCAGAAAAAGATAAAGTTTCTGGTCTTTCAATTTCTGCAGCATACTTTTGAGCAAGCATCTGCTTATGACTGATAGGAAAAGATGAAACCATATTGTGGCTGGCTGATGATTTCATGGAAGCCAGTGGAATCATACTTGTCAGCAACTCTCTCTGACTCAACACTGATGGCATAAGGTTTGGTGACAGACTGTTGGTTCCATCAGATAGTGCAATTTGATGGTGTTCATTAGTCAGCAAAGCACCCTGTTGCAACAGGTGACTAGTAGAAAAATTTGGTCGATGAAGATTTGAGGTATCCAGACAGACTGGACCTTCTGATTGTGAGGTAGCTATAATTGCAGCTAAGTTTGTTCGATCTAAAACCAGAGGTAGACCTAAGCTGTCTGCTGTATTAGTATGTCCATCTGGATCTTCATGCTGCAACACCAACTGTTCAACTGTAATTGGTACTCGATCAATAGAAGATTCAGAACATGAACGATGCTGAGAAATTGCAAGATCTTCAGTTGCATTAGCAGTTCCTGCTAAAGCTTGGTTAATAATGGGAGAATGGCTACGAGAACTGAAGGGCTGTAAAATAATAAAAATCAAAACGCTTTTACTCTCAAGCCATAAATTGTTTTTGGGACATTTTTCTTGAATATATAAACATACAAATTCAGATTACTGAACATATTTTTGCTGTATAGACAATACTTTACTCTTGATGTCATAAAGAGTTAGGTATAATGAGGTTCACATAATTCATACAAGACTTAAAAGGTTTTATTAATCAAGGTCTTGGTTTTGGGGACATACAATGTTTTTACTTTTTAAGAATAATGCTTCAACAAAAAGATTAAAAAACAAAAGAAAGACAACTACAATGCAACTTAATATACAATTATAATAATTTCCTTAAAGTATGTTTAATGCATGTATTACTAATTGAAAGTTGTTAACTATCCTTTGATAGATTATTTAGCCAGAGTATTCATGATGAAACTTTGTAGAATGGATGGCGGAAGACGTACTTGTGTGTCTACAACAGGCAGTTGCCATCCATTCTACAGTTTCATCATTGTTAACTATCCCTTGGAAAAATTTGATAATTTCCAGCCTGAGTTTATAAAACCTCTATTCTTGTGTCTCTACAACAGGCAGTTGCCATCCATTCTACAGTTTCATCATTGTTAACTATCCCTTGGAAAAATTTGATAATTCCCAGCCTGAGTGTTGTAGTGACACAAGTATAGAGGTTTTAGAAACTGTAGAATGGATGGCAACTGCCGTCATTGTTAACTATCCCTTGGAAAAATTTGATAATTTCCAGTCTGAATTTATAAAAGAATTATAGCGATTACATGGAAAAAAATTAACTGGACAAAAAACTGTTATTCTTAAAAATCTTCAATATTATTACAAAATATAAAAATAACCCAATAATATTTTTATCTACTTACATTATTTTACTTTATTATTGAACAGTTTATTTATATGTACACAAATATTAGAGTACATCTTGTAAATTATATATATTTTTAAAGTCTTCAACTTCCTCCAAGGATTTATGTTATGTATAAAACATAACAATGTAAGTACATATTTAGTCCAAGTTTCATTGTTTAAAATTGTGTTTTTACGCTCTGTGCATCCAACAGAATTTTAACCTATTTATGGCTTAAGTAGAAAGCCAATTACATTATAGTAGTTAGCAAACATTGTATTCTAGTGTATTATATGTTTCGTGTTCTAAAATATATATTTAAAAAAAAACATTAACGATTTTGCAGATAACCAAAATATCGTGAAAAAATTAGTCCTATGAAAGTATGCTATTGAGTACAAGTTAGTGAGATATGTTTCAACTTTAATACAACTTTATTATTATATATTATTGAGCAAAAGTAACTAAAATGTGAAAAGTAAAAACTTGTTAGTTTATATGACAAGAGTAAATGAAAAAAAAAGTAAATAAAATTTTAATAAACTAACTCCAGCTATCTTATCATAGAATTGTAATTTTATTCGTTGTTTAGAGTAACTACTACTACTGTAGTTAACTGCCTGTTACATACTTAAATAGGGTTTAAAGGGCATTGTAAAGTAATAAAAGTAAAAGCAAGCAGTTGTGACAGGGTTAGATAGCTGACTCCATTACGATAAATAATTGTTATTGTCTGTTACAATGTGTTGTCATTCTAGAAAAAAGTATTATTGATCCTGTTTCATATTTTTAATTTTTGTTCCTTCTGTACATTGATGATTTTGCTACAGTTAATGTTAGGTAGAGAAAATAAGAGAAAAACAAACTTTTGATATTCATTTAGGAACTTCTAGAGGTGATACAAGTGAAGTGTGAACACTTTAAGATGACAAAAAAAATTATTTTTAATTTTTATAATGAAAATTACCTTTTACTCAGATTGAAACACAGTAATGGCTTTGTACATTCACCAACAAGTCTGTAGTAGAAATACTTTACTAAAAAATCAACTTTTTGTATAAAACAGACTTATAATGTTTAATAAAAGCTTTCCAAATTTCGCTAAGATACATTTAGTGATTTCATACATATAGTAAACATTGATATTTATAAGCCCATAGAAGCAAAGTCTATCCAATGGACTGACATTATTGACAGAGTTAAAAGGACATATCATAGTCTTTACCTTTGAAGTTTATAACACTGGGGCTCCTTCATAAGAAAATTATTTAAAATGTTCCAACAATCCTGAAATCTAACCTATATAAAAGCCAGTGTGTGTCATGACATGCTTGATTTCTTGAAATAGAAGGAGACATAAAAGCCAAAATGCATTTATCCAGATAGAATAGTTCAAACTCTGTCTGCACTTTACAATTTTAGTGATGGGGTGCAGGGGGAGAGGTGCCATAAAATCTTGTAAGTGTAGTGAGTGTTGGTATAATAAGCCTAAAGTAAAGACATAATGTTGGATCACCTAGCCTAGAGCCAAGTGCATAAAATTTATCATGAAAGTGAAAATATCGATTCAATTCTGAACTTAAATCCTTTCTGAATTATCTATTTTCTGTTATATCACCAAATTTTTTAATGAAAAAACAAACCTCTTTAATCAAGGAAGACACTAAATTAAAAAATCAATATATATAGTTTCCAGTTTTATTGTCTATACATTTCATTTTATACTTTCAGTATATAGACTAACAATAATATTAGGTTATACTTTGGTTGCTAAGCGACATAACATAAAAGCCATTGTTGGAACATAGTGTTACCAAAATGCACTGGCTTTTCTAATTTGATTTTTTATCAATAATTATTCTATGAATACACCCCAAATTCATTTCACGAATGAGCATAACTTTGATTGTCTCACTGAAATTTGACTGTCTCGACTGCACTTTTCTGCTTCTTTGTTAGTCAAGCTTGATTTTACAAAATTTATTTATTTCAGTTATGAAATCTGAGG